TCAGCATTGCAGTGTTACCGCTTCTATCAAGAAGTAGCATCAACTTCGTTATTTCAAACAGAATACTCCTGTAGAATGTCCATGCAAGGACGTCCTTGGCATGTCCCTGATGGGATATGATTTTGAACGTTCCTTTAGGAACATTCATCGAATATCCCGAGCAGTTCATATTCTGGCATGACTTCAGATCTTATTTTATGTCCCTTCTAGACAACCATGAAATGTCCCTGATTGTACATTCCTCCAAATATTTCTGCACAGACGCCCTTAATATTTTCAGGATCGTATAACAATCGAAATGTCCCTTAGGGACTTCCTACGATATCCGCCGGATGTCCCAATTGGTACATGAGCTATAATCTCCCAATGTCCTAGAAATAACGTCCTACGGACGTCTCAGTTGATACTTCAGATATGTTGTCCCTGCGAGGACGTTAACTTACACCCCGCCGACGAATGATTGCTCGTAGGCTATAAAAACTCCCCGGCAATGTCCTTCACGTAAGTCCATTGAACATCCTTGGCAAACTTTTCGGGATCTATTGGTGACCTTCTACGGACCATCAAGTCAACTGGATGTCCTCATCAGTTATGCAAGATCTGGTCCTAGGGGGACCCAGAAAAATTTAAATTCAACAATAATTCGTACGTCCCTGGGACATCCTATGGATATCCAATTGATATCCCCCAGCGTCGCTGATAGATTGTCCTACGGATGTCCTAAAGATGTTCTTCGTAGTGCTTGATGAGGAATAATTTTTTTTTATCTAGGATATCCCTATTAAGTCCTCAAGCGGGACATTTGTGCGTCCCACAGACGTCCAATGGACGTCCACGGTACCAAATCCGAACGTTCTATGGACTTCCTGAATGTCCCGACTGGACGTCCTGAGGATATCCTTGGGACATAATTGTGTTATTATATCAAGTCTGTATATGCCACTGACATTGAAGAATAATCAATTCGAACAGCTCGGTCTCTGCCTTCTACAGCGTAGACAGATTCAGTGTGTATGCAGCACATTATACTGTTGAATTATTCGGCAAAACTTGCAACTTTAATGCCCGTTCAGGCGCTGCAGCATGCACGAGTTCTTAGTCTGATTGCATCCTCGAAACAGCATGTCTGCGAAACGTTCGAAACACTCATGCTTCCCGACTCTTTTCCTATAAATATGCAAATGCACACAAATCTATACAAGCCTTTTTTCCAAATGAAATGCCCTGCTCATCCGGCGTCGAGTGAGAAAAGTTCGTGCTTACATTGAACAAGATTTCAAAGATGAGAACATGATAGATATACAGTGTGTCCCTAGACCAGTGGGACAGTTGAATATCTCCTGAACCAATAGGAATTTTCAAAATATTATGATTCCACTTCATATCGCATCATGGGTGCTAACTTCAGGAATGACTAAATTTTATACGAGGGGCGCAAGAAAGGCTCACAAAATCGAACATCAATTTTTTCAAATGGAACACCCCATATATTTCAACATATTTGAGTTCTCATTCCTTCAGGCTAATTATCAGTTTTTTATTTTTGAAAATCCGTTAAGGTATTGCCAAGTTATACAAGTGTTTCATGAAAAGCAGACATTTTTTTAGACAAACCCATCATTCATACTACTAAGAATGTATGGAATCATTCAAGACTGTTGGTAGTCGGTAGCATATTCTATCGTATGAAATACTCATCTCCTTCGAAAGTTATACAGTGTGGTCAGAAATATTATATGATTTTCACGAAATTCAAACTTTCTTCACATCAATTTTTCAAATTGTGCACCCTACAATATGTATAATTTTATATTCCATTGGTGGTTTGATTGCTTATGGTCAATAGTTGTGAAAGAGAGATGTGCCTAATTATTCGTCAAGGTCAGTTTTTTCTTGTTGGGACTTTTTTTAAGTAGTTAAGTACAGTTGAATGAATAGTTCACTGCATTTTTTTCATTTGCATTTGCTGATGATGAAATTCACAAAATTTTGAAACAAATGTGAATACAATGCTAAACGTGTGATCAACCTAAAACAAATCCTGGTAGGAAATTTGAAACGATTTATATATATTTTACTAGTAGGTATATGTACAACGTATTGATGTTTTTCTGAGTTGGATGTGAACAGTCTTGGTTTTATCTTCTGTGGCAACCAATCAACTCATTCATTTGAATGAACCTCAAATTTCCGATGATCTATCACATATCATCCTTATATGCCACAATTTCTCTTCTATCAAAGAAACACAATACAAAAGAGTTACAAAATGTCTATTCAATGCTCAGTTCATCCATAAATATCATTATAGTTGAAATCTGTAGATACGAAATCGGATAAATGTGAACATATTTCTGGGAAATCTACGAATGAGTTGAGATAGCGACAATGTTTATATAACGACGATCATTCCTAGTTCATAACCTTGAGATGGAGAAATATTTTTCTACTTCCATTTCGTTTTTGTACACGCCTATGAAACGGTTGACAATCTCCAACAGCAGTTCACTTCCCATAAAATATTCAAATTATGTACCTACGTTGCGACGTCTCTATGCATGAAGTATTTTCAACAGGCATTCTAGAATCTGTTTCATCTCAGGAATGGAAAAGCCATCAATGGTAACACATTAAAAATCATTTCACCTCTGCTGCTCTACGTGGTAGTTGCATAAGCCATTCATTTGAGTTCTTTCACATCTATAATGGAAAAATCCAGAGAATATCGTTGTGACTCAAGAAATTCCAATGAATATGCAGTGCCGAATTAGCCACGTAGCAAGAAATGCTACGGACCTAGCAGTCCAGTCGTTATATCCAAATAACGGACCTTACCCGTGAATAATTTTTTAGTGGTTTTTCTTTTCATAGGTGTCTCGGGGGGTTCACTGGGAGTGTAAATTCAAAATGGCGACCAAATCAATCTTTTGCGTATGTTTTTTTTTGTTAAAAAACGGCTTTTCTTGAATAACTCGGCCATTTTTGATTCTACAAAAAAAGTTTGGGGACAAAAATTGTAGTAAATTTGATTCTCTACAATTTTTCTGATAGGATCGATATTTTGTGAATTAAACCTGAAAAAAGCGACAAATTCGAAATATTTTCATTATCTCGTTTATTTTCAACTTTACGGCATAAATGAACAGAAACAAACTTGTAGAGAATCAAATTTTGGACAAATTTTGACTCCACCTGTTTTTCCGAAAATCGATATTTTCGGAATTAAACCTAAAAAAAAACGACTCATTCGAAATATCATCATTATCTCGTCTATTCTCAACTTTACACCATAAATGAGAAGAAATAAACTTGTAGAGAATCAAATTTTGGGGAGAGAGAATATGGATTCGACAGGACCATCAGCTGAGAAACCCAAAAAAAATAAAAGTTCTGGAACCATACTTTCACACCGACATGACAGACAAGCTACCTGCGCGGGATAACCTCTTCATTTATGACGTATAATGCGAAGCGTTGGAGATAATGATAATCATTTGAATTTATCGCTTCTTTCAGGTTTAATTCCCAAAATATCGATTTTTGGAACAAAAACGTTGTGACCAAAATTGTTTAGAATTTATTCTCCACAAGTTTAGTCCTCCTCATTTATGCCGTGAAGTTGGAAATAAACGAGATAATGAAAATATTTCAAATTTGTCGCTTTTTTCAGGTTTAATTTACGAAATATCGATCCTATCAGAGAAATTGTGGAGACCAAACTTGTAGAGAACCAAATTTACTACAATTTTTTTCCCAAACTTTTTCTGTAGAATCAAAAATGGCCGAGTTATCCAAGAAAAACCGTTTTTCAACAAAAAAAACAGTTTCGAACATACGCAAAAGCTTGATTTGGTCGCCATTTTGAATTCACACTCCCAGTGACCCCCCCGAGACACCTATGAAAAGAAAAACCACTTGAAAATTATTCACGGGTCAAAGTCTATAATGACTGGACAGCCTGTCCGGCCTGTCTTACTGTAAAAAAAATCATCAGATCTGCAGGGGGAGAAATTTGAGGTTATGGTGGTTATATTGTTTTTATGAATTCCAATTTTTGCAATCCTTACACACACAAAAAAATTATTCTAATTGTTCGAGTCGAGATGGTATTTCAGCAGCTGAAGATAGGCAAAGAAATTTGGATCAAATTCGTCGGACGACAAACTATGAAACAGAAGTAAGTACCCACCTAATCTGAAAAATGATTCATTGAGCTATTTACATTGAACAAAAGTTTGGTTGGTCTTCTGATACAATCATTGAGACCCCACTTATTAGTGGATAAGGATAGGTCAAAGTATGAAGGGAATTTTCGCCATTTCTCAGGAGTTCACTCGTCAAACCCCAATGAATTTACTTGGCTTAGCCTGATTAATTTTTTTTTATTGGTTTCACGATCATTAGACTTGAAATCATATTATGGCCGTGGTATGTTCTGCGCTGTTCTGAAAATGTTTGGGATGAAGATGGAAAGAAACATTCGATTATATATATAGAATAGTCCAGCAACGGGGTAATATATAGATGCGCTAAATGAGGTAGAAGATTTTTTTGTTTTATCTTGTATATATTATAGAGAAGGTAAAGAATCCAAGTTTTCGACCTCCCAACCCCTGGCAAAATTTCGTGGGGCCAAAAAAACCACAAAATTCTTGCACTTTTTTCAGTTTTTGGCCTAGAACTTGAAAATAACGCATCCTAGCAAAATATCACCCATTATCAAAATGAAAGAGCATCAAATTACGCGTCGAATGAGTATTTAAAAGTTGAAATTCCATCTAGGGGTATGGCGTAATCGGAAGTAGAAAAACGACAATTTTTACCAACTCTGAAGAAATTCACACCAAGTGACCTTTATCACGTCCCCAGCTCTGAAACGGGTACCTAAATGAAAAAATCCACGAAATAAAAATTTAGTTATGATAATCAATAGTTGTATTGTGAAGATAGTTTTAGAGCATGACATTTCAAGTACATGGAAAAATGGGAATAATTGCCATTTATAGGCGAAATCGTTTGGGCTGGGGCTCTGCAATGTCCGTGTCTGGCATCCTCACTTCGTGGTCCATTGCAGCAGCATCGGAAATTTCTTCTGACTCGGAAAACTCTTCGTCCTCGTCTTCTCCCAACTCCATCTCAGGAGCATTTTCGCAGGAGAGGCCGGAGCAATGCTTGCATGCAGAAGAGCAGTTGAGGCCAGATTTTCGACACCCGCATGCTGCAGTGCAACCTTTTTTGCAAGTACAAGAAATCATTTTTAGTAACATGTCGGGAGCAGCATCTTTAGTAGTTTGAATAGGTACTAAGCCGGATGGAAGTTTTCTCCAACCCCATTGGCATGGGCTTATTGGACACCCCAGCCAAGTTTGCACCTGCTGGTATACTCGCATTGAGTGCCATCTTGCTGCATCTGATGTAGGTGGTAGCCGTGCTAGGTTGAACGACTTTTTTGATGCAGATTTGACGAAGAGCTCGTATCTCAGCTCATCGAGAGTCCCACTGTCCATTTTTCCATATAGAGACATGATCAGCTGTTCCCCTGCCTGTGCTATCTCGTCTTGAGAGACTGAGGGTTTGAGGAATGCAGCTGCTTGCTCTTTCAGTTTAGGATGTTGCTCGAGGAGGGTTGGCAATTTCCCTTTCCCATGACCAAAAAATGATGATGTGACATCACATCCAGTAAAGGCGTGGATGAAGAGGACGTGAGTGGGATCAAAGCAGAAGGAAGTGCTGGAATACCATGAAGCTGATTTTTTGCCTTTTCCTGGTTTGTGGAAGTACAAGTTCTGGTACTCTTTCCCAAGGTCGGTTAAGAGAACAAGAACGTCAATGTCCTCACTCACAATAGCCACACATACGGATTTTGCTGCTTGGGAAATAGCTGTTTCTACAATTAATAAATCTGCATCTTCCTCTGCCTGTTGGACTGAGATACCTCCTTCCTTGAATTTATGCATAAGCATAAAAATTAAACGATTTTTGTTACCCTCATTCGCAAGAAACTTTTCCTGGGACACTGCAGCATCTGTGTCTTCATTGAAAATGATATCTGCTGATGAACCAGATGTCTTCAATCGACGAGACCTTTCAGAAGACTTTGTTCCCCTCTCCGAAGCATCACTTGGGTATCCGTCGAATATAACCGTGATATCGGCTTGATAGTGTTTTCTCAAGTAGGTTTCATAGTTTCTGCAGATAGATCCAAATTTTTCATTACGGGACCAAACAACCTTATGCAGAAGGTATCCACCATCGACAACAAAACTTTTTATAGAGGGTGTAGCATTTTGGAGAGGTGTGAATGCATCATACAGCGAAGACTTTGTACCCTTACGGAGACCTTCTTCCGTGAACATAGACATGGGGTATGGAGCAAGTTCAAATGAGAAACAGTATTTCAAATCTTCATCGGATTGTTTCACAACGCACAGTCTATGAAACAGTGTTAACGGGTTGATAGTAGCTATCGTCTTTCCCCCTATCTTCAGAGCAGTGCAGGATGCAAGTGTAACAACCTTATCTTTGCGTTTGAATGATACGTTTTTGAAGTCCTGTCCCATAATTTTGGCAATCCCCATACTTCCAACTTCTACAGACAAATGACAGTTAACTTCAGGACCACCAATTACTCCACTGCTCACTGACATGAGAACATTACATGGTGGAAATGGGGGGTGTTGCAATAGCCAATTATTCAGTTTCTCACTGTCTGCTGCATTTCGATCTCTGCGTGAAGGTCTCAAGTCTACGTGTTGCTCACTTGTACCTGTTGATATATCACAGAATTCTTCAATCCTCTGACAAACATCATGCAGAGTTGCCATCCCTGAAGTCCACTTTGTAAGAACTGAGTCTGAAAACCCACGCCCGTGAGTTAAACCGCCTTTTACTTTCATTGTCTTCATTAGTGTCTGTTCGATGGTCATATCTGACCAGACTCCACACCAAAATTTGTCACTGCGCCTGATGGTGAAAAAGCCCTCTGTTGTGAATTTTTTGAATTCTGTTGGATCCATTTGCTCTTCCAATGTGAGCATTTCTTGCAAGTAAAGGTGAGCACTTTTAGCATATTGAAAATGGCCAGCAGAATGAAAGTAAGGAAGCATTTTTTTAATGGTATCCAAATGCAGAAGCCAGTTGCCCATCCGCTCTGCCTCAATGAACTGCTTCATAATTGTCACCATGTAGAAATACTGAGTCCATAGTTTCGCAGTTGGTCCTCTACCTGCAATGGTGTGAAGCGCTTTGTTAAACTTGATCATCACATGCTTATAAATTTTGTTTTCGTGACATGTGAGTACTGATGGTCTGTTTTCAAAAAGCAGCAATTCTTCCATAACTTCTTTTTCACCATCCGTGAACTCAATCTCCTGAAATATGTAAAATGACAACACCATGTGGACTAGCATATGAGCTCTCACTGCTCGAGCATATGCATGTCCACTCAATATTTTATCCAAACTGTTCTCGGCGAATATAATGGAAAGTAAGTCTCTCAAGCCGCTTCCTGCCATTATCACGCCGATGCAGCCCATGAAGGACATGAGAAGGTGGAATCCACCTAATCGTACAATGACATTTTTTAAATCACTGTCATCACTGCTCACTATATCCTTTGCCTTCACATACAATGGCTGGTCAAATGTGACAAAGCACGACTGTTGTCCAAGTTCCACACATTTTTTAGATGCCGTTAGCAGCGATGTATATATTGTGTCGTATAAAGTGGGAGGGTAGTTCAAGAATGGGAGACACAATATCTTTGAAGTAGGAGATTGTCCGTGATTGGTTGCTTCTTCCATGTATCCACCCCATCCTGGCACATCGGCACGTTTCGTCCACTTTCCGTAAAGCCACAAAATCTCACAGCCAGAGAGAGTCACTTCCAAGGCCACTGGGTCATTGAGATTGAGGTCCTTCATAATTATGGTATTTAAACCACCATTATCTGTCCTGTGGAAGGTGGTCAATTGAGGTACACCAACTGAGGTCAACACATCAGAAGATGACATCCTCACTTGCCGATCAATGTTTCTTTCTGACTCGATGGCCGAGTGAGGAGTGACGACCATGATTCCTCCCATAGAGTGGAAAGTATTCAATCCGTCAATGGTGTTAATATTGAAATCCGCGTTGTCAAAAATGAATTGGAGGAATCCATCAGTGGTTACCCTAGGTTGCTCAGGTCGTACTATCGATGACATCTCAAGTAGGGTAGTTTCAGCATACGTAGCCACAAATCCAATTGCGCTGAGAGCGTCAACAAGAAGTCTTGAACCAAATCGTTTATATATGAACGTGCTTAGCCCTATTAAAAGAGATGATAGAAACGATCGTGGTCTCACTGCAGAAATCACTGCATGTGACAATGCCACACACCTTTTTTTCCATTTTTCCAGTGTCCCTCGTTTATTTTTCAGAATCAATGACTCAAAGAAATGGAGCAATGATTCAGGGATCACCGATTCGACATCCTTCAAGAAATCATCAGGTGGGGGATATTGCGATATCTCATAGACCTGTGATCGGATGTCCTCTCGAATGATATCTGCAGCAGCACTTACGATTCTGAGGCGCTCTTCTCTTGGATCTAACAGCCTGCTCTGATAGAAACTATCACTCAATATTTTATAGCCAGTATTTTTAAAACAAACTACTGTCTTCTTCTTTTTAGTTTCAACTATCAAAATGTCTTCATCGTATTTCTCCAAGAGTCGGGTTTTCACTGTCCTAGCCTGTGGAACGTTTTCAGTCGTAATCTGGTTCATCAGTTCCTCTAAAGAGAATTGGCATTCCTCTGGATTGTTTTCTATATAGGAAAAAATCATTTCCATTGCTTCGTCAACATCTTTCGATAGAGGACGTCCCTTTTCTCCTCCGCTCCTGACTGGCCGGTAAAAATCCCTCTGACAAAATCTGTGATACCACGCATCTCTTGCACAAAGATCTTCGTCACTGATACGTTGCCATACTTCACTTGCCCAGTTGTCACCTCTCCTTCGAGCAACCTCAATAACGCTATCTCTTAGTTCAAGCTTCATCACTTTATGAATTAAATTTCGCTTGGCATAGGGAAGTCTGCGAAGGTTTTCCTCCCAATTATCATCAGCTTCTTTCCCACAATAAAAGCAGTGTTTTCTCAAATCAAATACATTCGACCTACGTGTTGACGTTGATGGTTCGGAGGCTCTTTTCAGATACGAAGAAATCAATTTCGGATTATTGTAATGCTTCTGGCAAGCACTGTGCACTTTAACTTCACTCAAATTAGTTAAATAACGACGATGCTCGTTGTTTTTCCTTTGAACACTAGAGCTTATTAGAGTTTTCACGCCTTTTTGTCGCACTGTAACCACATCACCATCTATCAAACTACCTTGGCATATGAAACACACCTCCCTACGTTGGGGAGAACTCATTTCGGACTAGTCAATCTCACAACTGAAATAAAATAAAACCTGAGATTTCACACGTGCTCTCTCTCTCACTATCTCGGTCTGTCGCGAATTTCATTGGTCAGAGGCTTGCCTCCGTTGGATGTTGCCAAGTCGCAAACTTTGATTCTATTCTGAATACTTTTAAGCATTGTTGCCAACTCAAATTCTGTAGTTCCGTGACAAACGCTATTTTGATATCAGGAAATAAAACCGATGAAATGAACGAATCATAGATATTTCTGTGTATATTTTGTACAAGTATATCGAATTATTTGATGTATGGAAATTCTTGAGGAGGCTCAGCCTCCGTTGCCTCCTCTGAGGAGCCGCCACTGAAGACCACGTTCCAAAGGGGGATGAATCAATTAAGGATGGGTCTCAGGTAGGATCCCTTTGGTATCCCACATCTGCGTTGGCCACATCTATAAATAACTCTATACCTAAAGGAGGTACAAACACTTCTGCAAACTGAAACTCGTTGAAAACGAACTGTGACCGACAAGAAAACTGGATAATTATGAGCTTAATCTGGGTGTATGTATAAGCTTGATATTGACCAAAATTGGAAAGCTAGGTAGTCTATAAATGTGAAATGTCATGCTCTACAACTTTTCTACTTCTACTTCCGATTACGCCATACCCCTAGATGGAATTTCAACTTTTAAATACTCATTCGACGCGTAATTTAATGCTCTTTCATTTTGATAATGGGTGATATTTTGCTAGGATGCGTTATTTTCAAGTTCTAGGCCAAAAACTGAAAAAAGTGCAAGAATTTTGTGGTTTTTTTGGCCCGCCCGCCCCACGAAATTTTGCCAGGGGTTGGAAGGTCGAAAACTTGGATTCTTTACCTTTTCTACAACATATACAAGATAAAACAAAAAAATCTTCTACCTCATTTAGCGCAACTATCACCCCCTTCTGACGACGCCGTTCCTGGGCTATAATGATAGATTGACAAAACGCATCGACTCGACTTCTCTTGAGCTATCGAGGAAGCGGGTCGAGTTTACACGATTCATTCTAGAAACAGAATACCAAATATCGAATAAAGATGGCCGATTCGACTCGATTCGTGAAATAGAATCTTCCTGTTGTACGACTGTGGAGGATACTATAGCTATATAAACATAGGGACGGATCAAACGATATACAAAGTACGACCATTTCAGCGGCTCTGTACTACACTCGACGACTTTGTTGAAAATCAAACACCTGGAACGTTTTGAAGTTCAGGTATTCATTTCCATTATCCAACGTACTGAATGCTTCAACTGAACGTTTGGAAGCATTTCATAAAATTACTAGTGTTTTTGGAGTACTTCGACAGCGAAAGAGATTTTGGAAAAATCCTCAATAATGGTCGGTGCTCACACATCAGATGATTTGGGAACCAGCCTAGGCGATGAATCAGTGTAGATCGTTGAGCTGCTCAAAACGAATGTGGGTACTGTCATTCAGAGAACCAAACAGGAGCCTCTGGAATTACAATTTCATGAATGTTCATTGAATAATGCTTCAGAATCATGTTTCCCAAACATAGAAATTGCCTTCCTCTTTTTAGTATTGAAAATGAATTAGGGAACACGATGGGTCAAGACGTCCCAATCATCTCACATTGATAAACACAGAGCATGATCTGCTTGAAGAAGTCGATATTGAAAGTGTTATCCCTAAATTTGCTCATATAGGTATATCCAAAAAAATTTATTTTCCTCCGATTGGCAGCAAATATTGATTTTGCTGACACATATCGATCAGCAAAGTATTCCTTTTCCTGCCTAGGCAGCAAAGTGGTTACTTTGCTGATTGATATGTATCAGCAAAATTAAAAATCCATAAATCGTTTATAATTTCCTTCATATTCCATCCGAGACTTCTCCGGCAACAAATTCAACTCTATATTTTTCGCCACCTCTCTTATTAATGCAGGTGTAAGTATACTTCCAGGTCGATATCACTGTCCATTATATAATAATTCAAATATACCGATTTTTTTTCGCACAACTGTCAGAAATTTCATGAATTGTCAAACCAACAACTGCGATTTCTATCAAATTTTATTTTAATTGAACACTATACAGGAAGAATAAAGAGATTGTGGGAATTGTATCAATTCGCAAATACAATATTCTCCCATATCATTATGAACAATCGGAGAAAAAATCATATGTTCAACTTGGCAGCAAAGTAGATTGACTGCCTTAGCTGGATTCCTAGCCTCGCTACGCTCGGCTATGAATTCAGCCACGGCAGTCAATCTACTACTTTGCTGCCTAGTTAAACAAATAACTATAGTTATAGTTTCGTTTCAGTTTATTCAATACTCTAAACTTGATAGCCTGAAGCAAACCAAGGGCCCCTTGAAGGAATTTGCTACAGGCATTGCACTGGCCTAATCCGGCACTGTGAATATGTCACTCACAAGATTCTTGTGATATTTTTGATTCGAAATATCTGGATGAAGTACATTCCGCATGATTGACACTCTTGAAAGGTTTAAAATGAATCAGACCTCGATAGAATACACTGAGGATGAAATGAAATATGGCGCTCCCACTCAAGGCTTGTTTGTTTCCATGGTTACGAACAACACGAAACTGTCTCTGCCTCTGTCCAAAAAATATACACCATCCGCTTATTTTATCATTCATTGCCATCTATCAGTTACTCATTGATTCTCAAAATCTCACTGTACCGCACTTTCAACTGTTCCATAGCCAAGTTTGATATATATTTTTTTTATGTTCTGGTTCCCACAAAAAGGAATATTCTGTAATGTTCAGAGAACATCGTGAGAACCAAGGGAAATAAGGTAGGAACTGGTGTTCTTCTTGAATTTCTGGAGGTTATATGCCTCGGGGAACATCTCCCTTGGCGATGTGTTCCAGAGCCTCGCTGTTCGTTGGATGAGCGAGTCTTTGGAAAGAGATGTTCCACAAGTCTCCAAAGTGATCGCGAAGAGGTGCGAAGCCTCAACTCGACGGGTTAATCTCGCAGGGACTGCCAAGGAAGGCACAATTATTGATATTTCAGAAGAGCATCGTCCATGAAAATATCTATAAAATAGAGCCAGATCGCCAACTTTTCTACGGTGTTCCAGAGAAGTGAGTGAGTATGTATAAGCGACGCATCACCTACGAGACGAATTTACCCTTTATTGGACAGAATCCAACATCACCATCATTCTACTTTGCATTTTAGTAGGTGAAAAATTGGGAAAAATAATATAATTCCAGCCACTTACTTGTTGTGCTCAGCTTAATCAAGATGCTGCAATCAGCAGAGTCAGCAGAATGTTTGATCATCAGTCACCTACGTCAACGAATGTCCCCTGGTTTGGCATGAATCATAATAATCCATTTACTCTGATTTAGCAGCTGAATACTCGAAAATACTCTCAATTACGAAATATAATTCAATTGGAAATCGTGGAGTGAGACTGTTGCTACGATTGAAATGTTATCAAATCGTGTTATACGAGGGTGTATTAGAAAATAATGAGATTGGCCCAGTAGTGTCTTGTTTTCTCTATGAAACTCAATGATGGGCTAGTTCTTAGATTCTTTATGTATCTGAAAACGTTTGGTTTTTGGTTGGAATCTAAGTTTTTTTTAGTTTATAATACTCAAGATTCAATCTGGAGAAAATTTCACACTATTTTATAGAAGATTCCACAATAGTTAATTTTCAGCCAATCAGATTGATTTATTTTTTAACGAATCACCACCATCACTTGAATACGAGTGAAGATTTTTTTCTCTTGGGTACAAAATGGCGAATTAGATCAGGAATTGTTGACGTTCTGATGACAAAATGATATCATAATTTTCTACCACTTGTATAGTACCTAACCCCCACCTGATTAATATAGAATGGAAAAAATATTATCATGTCATACTGTGAACGGGTACTTTCATACAACTACAGTAGGTGGAAATTGGGAATATGTAAGTTAGGAATCTGTTGGTGCCAAAATTGCGACACAAACTAAATTCGTTCATGAACCTATATGAAAATCAGATGAATAAATAGATTCAAGAATTACTATTTGATTTCCAAACATAATCTGGTATCAGGTTAGGTTCCACTATTTCTACTCCATATCAACGATTTGTTGGAAGCAACTTCATGTCCAGTACACAGCTTCGCGGATGATATTACCCTCCATACCGCCTTCTCTTCCAGGTATCCAATACCAGCCAGGCAAATCAGAAACGAACGAGGGAGAAATGTTGACGACATAAATATGGACTTGGCAACAATTCCCGAATGGGGGTCCAATAACTTGGTAAATTTCAATGCAAACAAAATACAAGCATGCTTTTTCTCTAGAAAAGCCGATCTCACTGAGCCCAACATATCTGTTTCGGACCAGGAGCTATTTCACTTTCAGTCAGCTGCTTATTATCTATAAGGCACAGATCCGACCTGTCCTAGAATACTGTTCCTATATTTGGAGTGCAGCACACAAACATACCCTGAAACTGTTGGAGTTCGTTCAAAAAGGGGCAATTAGTCTCGTGGGTGATGCCTCGCTCACAAACTCACCCACTTCTCTGGAACACCGTAGAATAGTTGGCGATCTGGCTCTATTTTCTAGATATTTTCATAGACGATGCTCTTCTGAAATATCAACAATTGTTACACCCTTGGCAGTCCCCGCGAGATTAACCCGGCAAGTTGAGGCTTCGCACCCCTTCGTGGTCACTTTGGAGACCTGCAGAACATCTCTTTCCAAAGACTCGTTCATCCAATGAACAGCGAGGCTCTGGAACACGACATTTTCGAGGGATCGAGGTGTTCCCCGAGGCATATAACCTCCAGAAATTTGAGAAGAACTCCAATTCTCACCTCATTTTCCTCGGATCCCACGTTGTTCTCTGAACATTACAGGATATCTATCCCTTTTCGTGGTAGCCAGAACATTAAAAGGAACCTTTCGTTGCAAGTTTTCAACTGTAATTCTGCTAATAACGACTTCACGAAAAAAAGAAAAATAACGATATCGATTATTTATGGTGGTTTTGCGATCTTGGCAACACTGGACGTTTAGAATCGGCATAGGTTCACTACTGCAAACAATGAATAACATTTTTCGTTTTCGTCTGCTAGTCTGCTGAGTTTTGAACATACCCTCGTAATCTAACATCGAACTGATGAACCCCTCACGTTAATCGTTGGGGCGTTTGAAAAGAAGTCAACCCCTCGAAAAGCACTTCGAATTTGAGATTTTAATTATATTAACCATCTCTGGAGCTAAATTGAGTTTTCGCGTTCCGTCCAACGTAATAAGATAAGTTATTCGAGATGAGATGCTATTTTTGTCTCGACAATTATATCTTCTTTGACTTTATCCAATTAGGAATTGGGCCCAAAAGATCTCTCCATTGGTATGAAAACGATATGGAGGTAAAGTTAAGGAGGAGGTTTTTATCTTACGGATTCAGGCTTAATGAGAAACAATACTTTGGTAATGAGGGTCTTCGAGAAGTTGGAATCGAATCTTGCAGAAATAATGAGTGATTGTATGAATAGCTATTCATACAGTACATGCGATTCCAACTCGCCCTATATACAGAGTGTCTCACTTTGAACGGCTGTCCTCTATATCTCAGGTATTAGTCGTGCGGTACGTACCAATCAGGAACGAACAAGGGAGAAATGTTGACAACATAAATATGGAATTGGCAACAATTCTCGAATGGTATTTCAATAACTTGGTAGACCTCAATGCAATAAACAAAACACAAGCATGCATTTTCTCTAGAAAAGCCGATCTCACTGTGCCCAACATGAGCTTGTCAGGAGTAACCATACCTTCAGAGACATCCATTCCGATGCTGGGTTTTACTATCAGCAATAACTTTTCTTAAGAAAATCACGTGAGATCAATTGCTAAGAGTGCATCCCGAAAAATTGGTTTTCTGTTTCGGGCCAGGAGCTATTTCACTTCCAGTCAGCTGCTTATGATCTATAAGGCACAGATCCGACCTGTCCTGGAATACTGTTCCCATATTTGGATTGCAGTACCCGAACATACCCGGAAACTGTTGGATTCTGTCTAAAAAAACATCAATTCGTCTTTCTCGAAAGACTTTACCCCAGGTTGAATGATGGTGAAGTAGCTGCAGCAGTATTCTGTGATCTATCGAAGGCCTTCGACTCTGTGAATCTTAGCTGCTGGGTAAACTGCATACATATGGTTTTGAAGTGTACCTTTGCTCTGGTTTCAATCGTACTTAACTGACCGGTCTCGAAGTGTCATTCTTCATCATAACGAAGCCTCAAAGCAATTACCTGTTTAACACAAGGCTCTGTACTTGGTCCCTAGTTATTTTTATTATATGTGAATGACTTGATGCAAATCGATATCCAGGGATGATTTTCCGTATTTGCTGACGATACGACAATTCTGTGGCATACGAAGAATTCCTCAGTATTGGGAAATATCTGGCTCTATATTTCATAGATATTTCCATGGACGATGCTCTTCTGAAATATCAACAATTGTTCCTCCTTTGGCATTCCCAGAGATTAACCCAGTTTTGAAACTCAGTTTTGATCTCCTCCTGAAGATGCTAACATAGTTAGCGAAACACATGTCGAGGCATTTAAAAAATCGGTTTGGTTAGTGGTGAAACAGTGTAGTGGAAATCTTCAAATGTCAATTCATGAAAAGACTTTAAGACGTTGTTGCATTGATCAGATTAGATGGATCGAATATTTCTCTTAAAATTGAGTCTATAGAAAGGAAGGTAATGATGCAGGCAAATCAATGTTTATTGCCTTGTTCAGAGGTACTTACCAACAATGCTAAAAATCTGTCAAATTATTACCTTCAGTGGAAAAATTTCCACCTCACAGGAAGAAACTTTGGTGAGAAACAAAAAATATTCGAGTGACAGTTAAGACTCACCTCTGATTTTCCTTTTGAGACACAACTGGCAACATTGGTTGGTTCCAAATTGAGTGCATCTCTCTGAAACAAAAAATTTCAAGATTAATTAAAATGAACACTTTTTAAGGGAGGCGATGTGATGTTATGAAACCTGGATCAATCTGGAATGTATCATAGCGTCAAAAGCAAGTTCAATGTTGAATAATACAAAATAGTTGATAGCATGAACAGACAACACGTGAATAGCAGTAAAGATGAACTTTGATACCTCAGCGAATCGAAATTTTTTTATCTTCTACGTCAGATGAACACTTCTCATTCACAAAGGTTAGTAAGCAAGTCATTTTGATAGAAATTCATGTACCTTTCCTATGAACTGACCACATCTACAACCAATATCACTGATATGTGTTTCGTTGGTTGCATGCAGTAGAATAGTATATTATGAATATTCTCAATACCCCTTCCTTTCGAATTAATTTGTAGGTTAGCAGGTTGGTTTGAATAATTTTCGGAATTATGGGATCTTGTCGGATGAAGGAATGATGAGTTCGTAGAAGAAGTATATTATGTAACGCGCTTTTAATCTTTTGTAGACACTCGTTCATTAAAAACCCGCTTCGCTCTGCTGCGCTCGTGCTCAAAATACTCGTTACTAAAAGGACGTTATCAACACTTGTTACATAATATACTATACTATCTCTTCTTATTGTGACAATTACCTTAGCAATGCTATAACAAGATTCGCCTACTCTCTAGATGGATTGACAACTTGACAACAATAATTGAAGACTCACAATGGATTTCGGACTCCGCATTCTTCACAGATTTACTTGGATACTTAAACAAATTGAATAAAAGCAATCATGGCAAAAATCTGTTTCTTGACCAGACCAGAGCCCAAATAGAAGCGTTCAAGTTGAAGTTGCGTTTGTTTTCAACGAAAATTGCACAAAGAAATATCGTCAACTCTCCTAGGTTACAGACAGTTGGTGAATTGACTGATGATAAAGTTAATTTTTATGTAAGTCAACTCAATCGCTTGGAAAGCGAGTTCATGAGAAGAATTGAAGACTTCAAGAATATAGAAAATGACTCGAAAATATTTTACCATCTATTTGCTGTTAACTGTTAGCAAATTGCAGTTTCAACTCGAAGTAATCGAGCTACAATGTGATGAAACTTGGCACAACTATTCAACAACTCATCAAAGCTTGATTTTTATAAAAGTTTACCAGAATCTGATTTCCCAAATTCAATGAAATACGCTCAGAGAATCATGTCCATGTTTGGGTCTTCATACATCTGTGAGCAGGTCTTCTCTACAATGTAGCTGCGTAAAAATAATCTCAGAAATAAAATGACTGACGAACATCTTCGCCAAAGTGTTGTGTAATTTCATACGGCCTCACTCTCAATCTATTTCCCCATCCCTGATCTAGGTGTATATAAAAAGTTGATTTTCCGCTTCCATTCAAATTGTAGGGATTTTCATTCCTACATAATGAATGTTTTAGGATTTTAATGCAATGCTTGTACATCAGGAAGAAAGAATAGAGGTTACCATTACTAAGATAACCGTCTTACCTACCTCCATAACTCGGGAAATCCTTAAAGTAGGCAAGCGGCGCGACATAAATTTCCTCGAAGCTTTTCTCAGGTTTTCTCTCGGGTTTCCTGCCCCCGCCGAGGAGATATAAATTATCAAAGGTTAAAACGGGGTTGTTATTGGAGTCGGCAATCGGCGATTGTAGCGTCGAATGACAGCCGGAGTAACGTAAATTTAACGCGTCTCGAACTAATTAAAGTAGTTAATTCCGGTTCCGGAACGGAAGGCGGCCATTATTCGTCTTTTCCGGGAGAGGTGCGGGGTGGGAGGCCGTCACATGGACGCTCGAGGAGGTGCGAAGGGGTTTATATCACCCCCTGAGAAAATTACAGTTTATTGAATAGCCATTCACGGGCATGGCCATAGTTGGCCTTGACAAACTCCACATTTGTTGTCATTTAACCGACCTCGTATTTCTCACCGTTAAAAAGATACCCATGGTGAGCATGGTAAGTGGGACACACTGTATAAACTTCGCAACACTAATTTCGTCGCATCCCAAAAATTTGCCTCTGTTGAAAGATGAATAACTTTTTTCTGCTTTGAAAGATTTGAATTCGGATCACACTGTTGACTAGCCCAGTCCTTTATCTATAATCTCGTAATTCTTTGAAACATAAGGTTCTTCACATAAAATCACTACAGGATGTTACCTGAAACTATGCAAAACTTTTTTTTACTTTGACAGTAGATTCATGTAGATGATCTCACTATCTCGGGACAGTTCTCGTATTGTCCTTATCTCTTTTATTCACAGAGTGATCTCGAAAAATTAACTTTTCGGTTTGTAGTCATAACTTTTTTCCTTGTCTACCGATTCCTGGAATCCAAAGCTTATTTTGAATCTTGAAATTCAGATGAAGAGATATGAAGATCACAATTGACTCAAGATGAACAGTATACAGTGTCTTTCACTCCTAATGGAATAAGCACCACTGTATCTCTCGTATTTGTTGAGTTAGGATTCTGAAATTTGCAAGAGCGGTAGATATACTGAAAATACACACTATGACCAAGTGGAGTCGTCTCCAGTGATATACACTGCTCGCCAGCAGCCATGGAACAAAATTAATATAAGGAGGCAAGATAGGCTGAAAATCACTTCGGATCCAAAATCAGGACGTACCTTTTGCTTCTACCTGTGTATGTTTATAGTCAGAGAATTGGACGTCCTGATTTCGAATCCGAAGTGATTTTCAACCTATCTTATTGGCTCCAAATAACATTTTCCGGAAATTTGGGTGCTTCCATGGCTGTTCGCGAGCAGTGTTTATCACTGAAGATGACTCCACTTGGTCATAGTGTTAATTTTCAGTATATCTCCTGCTCCTGTAAGTTTCAGAATCCCAACTCAACAATTACGAAACATGCTTCCATCAGAAGTGAGACACACTGTATAATGTTCATCTTGGATCAATTCTGATCTTCATTTCTCTGCATCAGAAGTATCAGCTCCAAAATGGGATTTTAAAAACGGGTTGACATGAAAATGAAGATATGTCTGCAAAATCAGAAGGGTAATTTTTTTAGATCACCCTGTAAATAAGAGAGATAAGAAGACAATTTGAAAAATGTCCCTTTCTCGGTTCATTCGACGGAAAGCAAATACTTTCCACGACGAACATTAAATCATATCTGTTGAACACACACGATAAGAATTCGAAAACAAAATCTTCTGGAGTTGAGAATCGGCATTCTCCTTCAAATAAAAATATGTATATGCACATAGTATCATTCTGAATATTGAACAGGAAACAAATATCACCTAGCTATTTGCCACGTCTAACAAATAATTATATCTGTTGAACATCCAGTGCAAGAGCATGAAAAATAAAAATCCTCTGAAATTGGGAATTGATATTCTCTCTCAAATCGGATGGATAATATGATGTATTATCATATAAAAAATTAACTTACCAATATGGTAATAAACGCTCAATTTCAAAAATTAAGTTTTCTCAAATCGAAAGTCAAAAATATCAAAAAATCATCATCTTATTTCATGAATTCTTCATTAGAATTCATAGCAAATCTGCTACTTCCTCATAATATCTTGCTTCTTTTTCTTATCATTGTTTATTCATTCTTTTTGGTCATTTGTTTGGAGAAATTATCAAGTGCGCTCATGGACTATTACATCCCAGAAAGCTCCAAGCGCACACTTGATGCTGTTTATACTCTTTCATTCCATTGTTTTGAATGGTGAAAGGGTGAAAATCAACGGGGGGTGACTAATTAATACGATCACCGAACGTTTTGTTCTCAAGAATGCTTCGTCTTTTAATGCTGTACCTGTCTAAGGCTCGTTGTTGATGAGATGTACATTGTAGAAAGTACAATCGTAGACAAATGGAGCTGTTTTTGAGGAGTATCAATGCTATTATTGATTATTACCTTATGTAACGATAGCACTTCTAGACATCAAGTGATCCTAGGAAAATTCGCCAGCGACGTATCATAAATATTCATGAAGCGGTTGTTAGGTAAGGTTTTTTTTCTTGGATGCTGATCCTGTCATCGGCTATACCTCAGTCTTCTAGGCTTCTCGTGCATTCCAGTTCAATTTACAGCACCCATTCACGAGGGGGTCGCCCCTGATGGTGAACCTGTCCCACTGATTTCATGATTACATAGTGATTTCATAGGATTCCGGTCACCATGAAGATTTCATGGGATTGCATGATGATTTCATGGATTTCTTGTTGTTTACATATGTTGATTTCATGATGTTGACTCTGAATGTGGCAAAATATCACGAATCGAAATGAACCATGATTATATTGTGATTTCACACTGATTTCATGCTGATTTCATATTAATTTCATGATGATTATATGGTGATTTCATGGTGATTTCATGGTGATTACATGATGATTACATGATGATTTCATGAGATTTCAAATGATTTCATGGTGATAACATGATGATTCCATTTGACGACCACAGGGAAAAAAAGGGGAATGTCACAAAAAGTAAGTTTCGAGAGAAACGCATTTCGAAGTTGTAAACCTCCTTACTTTTTGGAAGCTGAAGGAAACTGAAATCAAACCACCTGGTTGCATTCGATGGAGTATATATTGAGCAATAAAGTTGAACAACTAGAATTAGAAATCATATTTGGATGGAAAAATGATCGAAACCAAAAAATATGTCCAAAGATTCAAGGGAAAAATGGAGAATGTCCAAATAAATTGTCAAAAAACTGGATTGTTTACTCGCAATTATCTGCTCTTGGAACGTTGCATAGCAACAAACTTTCCCTGCCTAGGCAGTAAAAGTACACTTTTTCTGCCTGTTAAGTGGCAGAAAAAAGTCACTAATCCTGCCACTAGGAGAAAATAGTATATTATGTAACAAGTGTTATGAATGTCCTCCTAGTCCGTTCTGCTGCGCTCTTGCTCAATAAACGAGTGTCTAGAAGAGTTTATTAACGTTACATACTAC